GATATTGTGGGAAGCAGTTCGTGCGAGGAGATGACAAGGTCATCAAAGTCGACACAGCAGATAACACTAGGAAGATTCATGGAGCAGATGTTGGGTCTAGGCTAGGCAGTGAACGTCTCCAGCAAGGAGACATCACGAAGCTCAGGTCGATCACCGGATCGCTCGCCTGGATCTCGAGACAGACCAGGCCTGACCTTGGTTACAGGGTAAGCCGTTTGCAGTCTAGCATTAAAGATGCAACTGTGTCCACGTTGGCAGACGCTAACGCAGTCGTTGTCCTGGCACACAAGGGTCACGATGTGGCATTGTGTTTTCCTGCGGCTCATCTCCAATGGAGTGAAGTTGGTGTGATCACGGTCACAGATGCCTCCTTCTCCAACGAGAAGAACTACAAGTCGCAACAGGGCAGGATCCATTTTCTGGGTGATCTCAAGGAGATCAAGGACAACAAGACGACCACCTATAAGGTGATGCCACTGTCTTTTGGATCCACGACAATTAAGAGAGTCTGCCGCAGCACTCTCCAGGCCGAAACGTATTCCCTCCAGAACGGACTCGAGACAGGTGACAAGCTGAGAGGTGTGATTGCGGAGATTAAGGGTAAGATTCGCAGTCTGAAGACATGGGAAGATGACGCCCGAGAATGCATTCCGCATTTGGCGATGACTGATTGCCGTTCGCTTTCTGACCACCTCAATCAGGAAGTCCTGGCCAAGGTGAGTGACAAGCGCCTTGGTATCGAGTTGCAAGGAATCCATGAGAATTTGTGGCAAGAAGGAAGACCAACATGGATTATTTTCGAGAATGGAGGAGACAAGTTGATCTGGATTGCCACCAGTACGATGGTGTCCGACTGTCTGACGAAGTCCATGAAGCCAGATCTGCTACTACGAGTGCTGAAGGAGTGCCACTACACTGTACAGAAGCAGAAGTAGATTCTCCAACGCCTTAGGAAGACACAAGAGTTTCAATGTATAGCCGTGCGACACCTGTAGAACAGGTTGAGTGTGAATTTGAGGTAGGATCTCATTCTGTTGAGCCAGGTTGTCACACTATGTTGTGTCTGCCGCCGTTTGGCTCCTAGGGCCCTTGAGCTATACCGTGCTCGCTTTCGCAGTGAAAAGAGCGTGTGGACAGTACGATTCCGGTTGCTACCGACAGTCTAGCTTCAAACATCATCCCGGGTTAACACAAAACGTTCCCCATCGCCACCCTCTGAGGCTCGTTGCGGGCCGTGCTCGTAGCGGTGCGAAGCGCGGGCCGTAGCGGGTCGCCGTGTGGTCTGGGAAAGCTAACTGGTTTGGACAGCTGTGGACAGCTGGGGTGCAGGAAATGATGACAGAAACGGAAGGTTGGCAGGTTTTGCCCTCCCTTTTTGTTGGGTCAGGCCAGGCAATTCTTCTTTTCTTGTCATTTTCGGCTTGATCAGTTCGAGGGGTTGGTGTGTGTGTGGGGGTCAATGAGGTGAACCACAGTATGGCTACATGCTGGCGCTTGGGATGCTAGCTGCTAGCGTGGGTGGTTTAGTCTTTTTGGCCGTGAATGCGTATATAGCTGACCATGTTTTTTTCTTTTCTTTTGTGGGCCTAATTGCTTTTCACTTCGTAGCAGGATGCAGTACCCATGTATATTGCAACCCTTTTAGAGCGTAGGCGGCGTAGGCGTGGTCAATCAAGTATTTACAATGGAACCCATACCTAGAACCCATTTGACCTCTGTTTTGATGGGAAAAGGCCATCTTTTGGGTAGGCAGAGGTCACTATACGGTTCTAGGTAGAGGTCCTATTATATACACATCGTGTCTACGCCTGGCAGCGTAGGCGTGGTTCGATCCTCCCAGATCTTTCCTCTCCAGCCCATCGAAGTGTCCCTAACTGGTCCGGACCCGAGGGTTAAGAGGCGAAGTCCTGGTCTAAACTGGTCCGGACCCGAGGGTCTTCGCCTCCCTTTCATGTTTCCTCAGCCATCCTTTTTGGTGGGACGAAGACCTGGTCGAGATGTGCTGAGGCGAAGTGGTGCAAACCGCGGCAAGGCCAAGCGGAGAGTAGGAGTAGGTTCAAGAGGTGTGCTTCTTTTGGACAGCTACGAAGAATAAACAGGATGATCCAAGCCAGTCTTTCGGCTTGACAGCTAAGTGAAGAATGTAGCAACTACATAAGATTTCTTTGACCAAGGAGGTGCCAAAGCAAATTAATTGCAACATGTTTTGTGCAGAGTTGGCGCACATGTTGTGGTTAGTGAAGTTGTTTGTGTCGCTGAAGTTGATTTGAACTTGACAGCAAGGAACGTGGACAGGA